CACACATCACACATCACACACACACACACACACGCGCACAAACACACACACACACACACACATAGCCATTCGAAGTGAACTTGAATCTGAACTGTGTTCTCGGTACCATATCTCTGAGTTCTGAGTGGGCGCATGTCACCAGTTTGCTGCGCACTTGTTTGCATGCATGTAAAGTGTGGAAGAGAGCGAGCCTGATTGCACACACACACACACACATACACACACACACAGAGGAGGAGCAGGTGAAGAAGGTCAATGAGTTTGGAGAAACGATGGAGGAGGAGAAAGAACGACTGTGGAGGACGCTAGCGCTGCATGAGACCTTCGAAGCGGATGATGAGCTACTGCGGTTACGTAAGCAAGAAGCGGGATTGCGAATCCAAGATCAGGCGGATAAGTGTAAGCGCTGTAAGGAGGTGGCCGCCGGAAATAACCCTCCTATGATTACTCCGGAGAAACGATCGAATGCCGTGTTATGCGAAGGATGCCGGAGAAGAATCGAGGAGCTAAAGAGGGATCCTCTTGAAGCCCCGCAGACGTCTGATACACCACATAAGATTGATTTGACGTTGAAGCATATTTCTGCTTCGTGCGGACTGGGTGGGAAGGAGAAGTACGAATCGGAGGTTCGTGACTTCTACGACGCATTGACGATTGACGAATTGAAAGAAGTGTGTAAGCGCGAGAGGGTGACCTACGGAAATCGAGAGGCGGCGATCAAACGTTTGGTCATACGGAAGGTGACTACTGCATATGATGCCACCTATATACCTCTGCCGGCCACACCAAGGATGACCACTCGGAGTACGAAGACCGCATCGGTCAATGCCAAGGTCGAGCATACTTCCGAGGACTTGAGTGAGAGTGATGATCATGCGGAGTGATGCAGTCTTAATGGAACAGGACTACGTGAATTGGCATGGCGAATATGTACACGGAAACAATGCGACGGTGGTAAGAGTAAACTAGATGATTAGTTGTCGAGACTCGTTACGATTAAACTAGCACTAGTTGGGGAGCTGCGTTGGGGAGAGAAGTTTACTGAGTACTGGGAGGATGAACTGACTAAGGGACGACTGGATTTGGATGACCCGGACGGTTGTGTCTACGTGCTCATCTCACCATGGTTCAAACAGGTGTATATCAGCACGACCGAGAGGCGCTTGTGGGCCAGATAGCGCGAGCATTTTGGTCTCGAGAAAGGAGGTGGTAATAAACGACGACGAGTTCTTTACAATTGGCTCGGGAAGGTGGGCGTTCATAAGTATGTGGTTGTGCCACTGTATTTCAATGATGATCGAAGAGAGCTTGAGGCCGATGAGAGTACTCTGATCAAACTTTGGTCGCCTAGTCTGAATACTCGAGGGAGTGAGGGTAAGAAGATTTCAACGAAGAAGGGTAGGAGGCGGCCTGGAAGAAGGGAAGGAAAGAAGACATGACAGCACTTGGATGATGAACGTGCGAAGAATAATTGGAGGAATGAGGATCGTGGGAAGGGGAAGATTGTGGAGATTCGGAGAGCAGGGGAGGATAAAGGGACCGTGGGTATGGGGAAGAGCTTGAGCCCCCCGTTGGCATGAATGATGTGTGCAACAACAGAATGGGATTTTTTTATTTCTCTTGGGAGTCAGAAGAGACTGGTGGAAGGATTGAGGTTTGTGG